AAGAATGAAGAATCAAAAATATCTTTGATTATTTTTTTCCAGGTCATGGTCTGGATCCATGGTGGAGGCCTCTCAATAGGATCAGCTTCAACATATGATGGATCTGCCCTGGCTGCTTACCAGGACATGGTTGTGGTTCTGATCCAGTATCGCTTGGGACTTCTGGGATTTCTCAGGTAAATAAAGTTACCAAATTAGAACATACTGTTGTCCTGTTCTTTTCCATTTTCAAAGACTGCTCACCTTCACCAACTCTAAATGTAGCTTAGTATGCCGTTCAACTCTTTGTTTTATCAGCACCGGAGATGAGCACATTTCAGGGAACTTTGGCCTGCTCGATCAGATTGAAGCTCTCAGGTGGATCCAGCAGCACATTCACAGCTTTGGAGGAAACCCAGGATTAGTTACCATATTTGGAGAGTCTGCTGGTGGAGTAAGCGTGTCCCTTCTGGTAAGAATCTACAGTTGGAGGAAATTTATATAAACTTTTGCTGTGGAAACCAACCTTTAATATGTGTTCTTACTTAAATTACCAGCTCCTGTCACCACTGTCTGAAGGGCTGTTTCATCATGCAATTGCTGAGAGCGGCACAGCTGCTATGGATTTACTTGTGGAAAATTATTCTCTACTAAAGGTACGGGTTTATTATCCATGTTGTTATTCTGGGGGATGTTAATCATTTTTCATTGTACAACAGTAAAAATAATACAATAGGTTTGCTTTTTTAAATTGATATCTTTCCACCAGGAGGTTGCAAATGCATCTGGCTGCAGCCTTCAAAGCACAAAGACGTTTGCTGATTGCATAAGAAGCCTTGATATTGATATCATTGTGGATTTTACCAAGGTAAATTACTGGGTGGAAACCTGATGTGGATTTCTGATTGGCTGAACAGTCTTAAGATGTCTCTTAAATAACTCAAGGGATCTATTTTTACTTATTTACTTATCTTTTACTGTTTTACGCCATTGGAATTTTTACTTTTGTGCATTTTATTCACAAGGACCGACGTTTAAGATGTCCTGTAAATGTTGAAGGGCATTTCCTGACAAAACCTGTGGATGAGCTGTTTCGTAAACATGAACTCCTCACTGTACCATTCATGATGGGTGTGAATAATGATGAAGCGGGATGGATGCTAAAAAATGTAAGTGCCCATCAAAATTTGATATCTTATTTTTGTTTAAACTGGCAATGTTAAGTGCAGCAAGGTTTTTATTCTTTCTTTTAGTTATTCATTAGTGTTCCACAAAATTGGGCACAAGGAATGGATCGGGACCAAGTCATAAATGCAATGGGCTTCTTCTATCCCAATGTAAAGCACACACTGCCTGATATCACAAAATGAACCCAACCTGCTCAAGCATCTTTCACTGATGTGTTCTTTATTTCCTTAAGCCTAAAGATGCATTCATCAAAAGTTTGATAATTGCTGAATATATTGGAAACGGTGCCGACCGTGTGAAAAACCGAGATGGGTTCTCTGAGGTTACTGCAGATATTCTATTCAATATTCCAGTCATTAAAACTGCTAATGCGCACAGAGGTAACTTTTATAGATTAATGCACATTTATCTAGAAACAATTATTTCATATTTACCGCCCTTACTAAGTGTGACACCTGTTTGTCTAATTGTAGAGGCGGGTGCTCCTGTATACCTGTATGAGTACCAGCATTCCTTGAAAATGGTGCAGAAAAGAAGACCGAGCTTTGTTGGGAGTGATCATACAGATGAAATTTTTACAGTGCTGGGATTTTGCTTCACAACTACCCACGTTAAACTGCCTCGTGAGTGAAACCTAAAAAGTTTAATCTGAGCATGAGATATTTGGGTTGTTAGTTTTTGGGGTTTTCTGGGGTTGGAGTGCAGGATTTTTTACAAGATTATCACTTTAGAGCCATGCTTTGTGGAGGAGGAAGAGTTGAGCAGAACCATGATGAGCTACTGGGGCAACTTTGCTCGCACAGGGTAAGCTTACATATTTTAGTATACTGGGAGATAATACCACATACCACATTGTTATATTGTGTATGTCTGTCTGCATGTAGGTCTCCTAATGGGCACAACCTTGTCCACTGGCCAAAGTATGAAGCAGATGAAAAGTACCTGGCGATTGATTTAAAAACGCAAGTAACTGCTCAGCACTTGAAGAAGGAGCGCTTTGTCTTCCTGACTCAGACCGTGCCAGAGAAGCTCAAACAGCATGACAAAAATGCAGAACGCAGCGAGCTGTAGAAAACTTGCATCTCTTCTCTGTTACGTCAGTTTTTGATATCATTACCAAATAATAAAATACATAAATTAATCACTTATGACTTAATTGCCTGCCTTTCCATTCTACATTCACA